ATGGAAAAATGGAATATAATCCTAGTAAGGATGCTGTAAAAATTGTTGAAATGACAGCAAAGTATTTAGACTATTATATAAAGCTTAGATGATAACGTAGCAGCAGGGTTTGAAACGAATGACTCCAATTTTGAAAGAAGTTCTATTGCAATTACCCAATCAACTGGGTAAATGCCATTGAACAGGATCACGTGCCACAAAGAAAGTTTTTGTGAAACACGAGAGATTTAATGCAATGTTGTCTTATTTTAAGAAATTGCCCTGGGACCTCCCCTGGTGGCACAGGTGGTCGAACACAGCACTGTGAAGCTGTCTGCAGCCTCTGCAGCACCAGTTCAATCCCCACAGGCCTTGGATACACCCACATGGCAAGCAGACCTCTCCTGTCTTGCCCGATGTTTCCCCTCAGCAGTGTATTTCAGTCAGTCTGCCTGTTCTGTTCCCCGCTCTGTCTCTGGTGAATCCTCTCACCCTCCCGCACATCTGGCCTGAACCTCGGCTCTTGTATAAATAAAATAAACCTAAAAAAAAAAAAAAGCCTTAAAAAAAAAAAAAGAAATTGCCCCAACATTCCTTAGTCAGTAGCCATCAAAACTCAGGCAAGATCTTTCACCAGCAAAAAGACCCACTATTCTCTGAAGTTTCCAATGAGAGTAAGCATTTTTAACAATAAATTATTTGTTAATCAAAGTGTGTGCATTGTTTTTTAAACACAATGTTATTGTACTAAAATCTAGTATAAACATAACTTTTAGATGTGCTGGGAAATCTGAAAATTCATGTGATTTGTTTTATTGTGATATTTGCTTTATTGTGGCTATCTGCAACTGAACCTACAATAACTCAAATTTATGACTCTGCTGAAGTTTTATGTGTTATGCATAATATATAAAAAAGTTTCTATTTTTTTCTGTAAGATCCCTGTTGAAGCTAGCAAACTTCTAGATGTCATTTATTTATGAGTCTATATAATAATACTGGCATTTTCTAACAGTAACAACAACAAAATTATTTTTCTAAGAATGCACTCATTTTCTTCTGTTAGATAATGATATTTAGGTAATACATTTCCCCTTAATATTTTGTTTGCTAGTGAACTCACAGCTATTTTTTTAGTATGCCACAAATACTTCATTAGTCAAATCACTTGGATGCTTGCCACCTCTTTTTTCTGCATGACTTTAATATTCTTTTTCTAAAAATTTTCAATATAATTGTCTCATTCACAGTAAGAAAATAGACAGACTAAATTTTTAAAATAAAACCAGATAACCATATCTATCTTGTGGATATTGTGAATAAATTAAGATACAGTGAAAGTTAGCCAAGCCCTACTCCATCTACACTGATATAGTCAGCTTTTAAACTTCAATGACTTACTTTCTGAAACAAAAACTAAAGTGTGTTCATGTCTCCAAGTTCTACATTTTGTTCCCATGCTTCTGAACCCTTTCCCTTCTTCCATTCTTTTTTTTTAAATTTAATTTATGCAAGAACCGGGGTTCAGGCCAGATGTGCAGGAGGGTGAAAGAATTCACTAGAGCCAGAGTGGGGAACAGAACAGGCAGACTGACAAAATACACTGCTGAGGGGAGCAGTGGGTGAGACAGGAGAGGTCTGCTGCGCCATGAGGGGCCCTCCCCAGCGGCCAGGATAGAACCTTCGGCGCTGAAGAGGCTGCAGACAGCTTCTCACTGCAGTGCTCAACCACCTGCGCCACCAGGGGAAGCCCTCCCTTCTTCCATTCTTCCCTCCTACCCTCTGTCCATCCTTCTGGTCAACCAATTCTTCCACCTACAACCTGCCCAAACACAAATGCACATAACATTCTTTACATACTCGATTCATTTGGACATTAGCATACTAATATCTCAGAATTTTTTTCAATATCTTATGCAAACAATGTTATACTATTCTCTATTATATTCTTAGTTCAATTCTTCATTGTACCTCCTTCAAGTAACTAGACCTAATAGTTTGTGTGTATCTGTAAGGACAGGGACGTTCTTTTTCATTTAAAGTCTTTTTCATTTAACTATGTTACCTGATGGGTTTAGATAACGATATAGTTGCAAAATTATTTAGGAGATAAGAATAGGAGCTGGGGCCTCCCTTGGTGGCACAGCGGTTGAGCGCTGGGCTGTGAAGCTGCCTGCAGCCTCTGCAGCGCCAGTTCGATCCCCGGCCACAGGCGAGGGTCCCACATGGCATGCAGAACTCTCCTGGCGCGCCTGCTGCTCCCCTCAGCAGTGTACTTCATCAGTCTGCCTGTTCTGTTCCCCACTCTGGCTCTGGTGAATTCTCTCACCCTCCTGCGCTTCTGACTTACCCAGTGCTTGTTTAAATAAATAAATTAATTAATAAACAAACAAATAAATAAATAAATCTATCTTAATAAAAAAAATATTTCTTTATACAAGGGCTGGGGTACAGGTCAGAGGTGTGGGAGGGTGAGAGGACTCACCAGAGAGAGCAGGGAGCAGAACAGGCAGACAGACCTAAGACACTGCTGAGGGAAGCAGCGGGCGAGACGGGACAGGTCTGCCGTGCCATGTGGGTAGCTCCCTGGCTGGCTGGGAATCGAACCTGCACTGCAGAGTCTGTGGACATCTTCACAGTGCAGTGCTCAACCCGCTGCACCACTGGGAAGGCCCCCTTCTGAATGTTTGGAATGTATCAGTAAAACAAAGAAAAATTTCTTTCCTGAGGAGTACACTTGAACACTATGGAGAAGAAGAACAGACAATTTAAGAGTAAACATAATAATTGAGCAAATATTTGGGACCATTACAAGAGATAAGGAGGAAACAGAATTTGGGTAAAAGGGGTGAGGAGCACTGAGGAGATGAGGAAGAGAGTTTACACCATTAAATAGTATAGTCTGAGAAGGCCTCATTAAGAAGGTGAGATTTTAGACAAAACACTTGAAGGAGGAACTAGCATAGCTACTGCTGAGGAAAAGGATCATTTCAGGCAAAAGAAACAGCTAATGAGGAGAGGATTACTTTGAGTATGCCAGGCCTGTTGGAGAAAGAGCAAGGGAGTCCCTGTAGCTGGTGTAGGATGGGCCGGGGTAAAGAGTAACGGGGACTAGTTCTTTGTACCTTGGAAGACAGTAGGTCAGCAAAAACGTGCAGAGAATGGAAGAATTTAAGTGACTAAGTGGTCACCATCACAACCAGTTTTGTTTGGGCTCACTTCACTCATTCATTTACCTGTGGAGACCCTGAGGCAGGTGCAACTGATGAAGAAGAATGAGGAGCCCTCTGCTTTATCAAACCAGCTGGCATACTCAAGCATCAAATGTACAACCTTGTCCTCATTGCCAATAACTAAGAAAACGTCTTGTACATCAGACACAATCACAATGCCGGCATCAACTAGTTAGTATCCCCTCTTTATTTTCATCAGATTCTCTCTACTTTTGCATTTTTCATCAATACCATTTTCTCATCTTATTCAAGAATATCATTCACAACTTTGCTGATTTCTCTACACAATACTGAAACTTGCTTTTATGGATTGCAATCAACGTTTTTAAAAATTAACAAGGCCGGGGGCCTCCCCTGGTGGCGCAGCGGTTGAGCCCTGGGCTGTGAAGCTGCCTGCAGCCTCTCTCCAGCGCCGGTTCCATCCTGGGCAGCCAGCGAGCGTCCCACAAGGCACGCAGACCTCTCCTGCCACCCGCTGCTCCCCTCAGCAGTGTACTTTGATCCTTCTGCCTGTTCTATTCCCCACTCTAGCTCTGGTGAACTCTCACCCTCCCGCGCTTCTGACTGTACCCAGTGCTTGCATAAATAAATAAATAAATAAATAAATAAATAAATAAATAAATTAACAAGGTCCCATTCAGAATACCCATAAAATAGGGAAAAGCAAGATACCTCTGTAAGGATCAGCAAGGTGTGGTGACGCATACTTTCTTTTCTTGCTATTGAATCTTGGAGCTATCCAAGAAAAACTTACCTAGCTTTCAAGCTAGGTTGGAATCTAGCAACCAGAATTAGTAATGTATGTACCTGGACTCCAGGGGCCTCATCTTTTATTCTTTCATTCTGTGACCTTTTACAATTCAGCTAAGGAAAACATCATGGGGACAATAGTCACATAACTGCAATTTCTTTAAATTAATCTGTGCAATTGCTTTACTCCTCTCTCTCTCTCTCTCTCTCTCTCTCTCTCTCTCTCTCTCTCTCTCTCTCTCTCTCTCCTCAGAAACGAAGTCTGTTTTGGAATTCAAAGACAACCTCAACGTTTTTTACAGTCTTGGTGGTCAGTTATGAGGGTCGCAGGGAAATGGAAAACAAGCGATTCAAGGAAGCAACATGTATTTAACAGGTAAGGAGGAAGAAATTTCAATGGGCGAGGAAAGAGTCCTTAGTAAGAAGTGAAGACAAATGCAAAATGGCCTTATGAATAAGTAATGCCATCACAGGGAATGCGCTTTCTAACCACACGCACCCTGAATCATCTTGGGGTTCCCTGTCTTCCCGGCTCTCTCTAGCCTCCAGCGGCGTCGCCCCTTCTCCCAATCATCGTCAGAGGCTTAAAATGCCATCGTGGAGAGAAGCTCATTATCTACCTGCTCCCCCCACCCATTCTTTTTGAGTGACACCCCACCCACGCCTCCCCCTGCACAGCCCTTCTCCTTCTGCGGCTCCCAGAGGGAAGCTGAGGCGCTGCAGAGCAGCCCGCGGCTGCCGAGCCCGAGCCCCAAGACGGGGCTGCCAGACCCGGGGCCCCGACTGAGCCTGTGCCCGGCGCTTACGCCGCTCCCCGCCGCGCGCCGCGGGCGCAGGACCGAGCCCCGCGCTGCGCCCCCCGCTCGTCTGCCGGCGCACGTGCCGGGCTGCGGGGAGAGCTGCGCCCCGCGCGGCCGGCCCCCGCCCCCCCCCCCGCCCCGCCCCCCCCCGCCGCCGCGTCGCCGCCGCTAACGCCGGGCTGCAGCGAGGCCGCCGGAGCGCAGGAGCCCGAGGAGCGGCCGCTGGGCCGCCAGGTCGCCGCCGTCCCCGGTAAGCTCCGCGGCGCTTTCTGTCTTTGGCTCAGGACTGGGGTCGCCGAGGATGTGGGGGCCACTGAGCCCCTCCCCCATGCGGGAGGGAGCGCGGCCGGGCGAGGCGTGGGAGCCGGGCTGCGGGAGGCGGGAGGGCGGGTTGCCAGCAGGTGGAGAGCGGGCGAGCGGGGGACGCCGCGAGGTCCTGCAAGTTTAGAAAAGTCACCCTGCAAGGACGTGCGCGCTGTGAAGCAGACATGCATTTCCAGCCCGCAGCCCGGGCTACCTACCAGGCGTCTCTCCAGTGATAGGCTTAGGAGATCATTTTGCTTGTATTTGCATAAATGGTCTCGTTTCCATAGAACGAAATAAAAAAAAAAATCGGTGCTTCTCTCTCTCTCTCTCTCTCTCTCTCTCTCTCTCTCTCTCTCTCTCTCTCTCTCTCTCTCTCTCGCCTCTCCCCTCTCTGCTTCTCTCCACATACCAATACACGCGCCCAAAGGGGTACATTTCACAAGGGAGAGGGAAGAGAGCTTCTCTATTTTTGAGGTCTTCGGGAATACAGGGGACTCTTGCAAGCATGGTGCTTCCTCCTGCACAGAGGAGCAAAAGAGGGTTCTGCTTGAGTGTGAATGTCAGTGTTCCATTTCTAAAAAGACACGTCCATGACCGCATGCCCAGGAGAGAGAGGCTTTCTCAAACACGGGGCCGTTTTTAAGAGGGTGCTCCTGCAACTCTGGACCTTGAAGCTCAAGTTTTTGTATTCCCAGGGTGACTACGAAGGCATCCTGGTTGTAGCTTCCTTTGTGGAACTTAGGTAAAGGCTGGGGACAGACAGTGGAATGTGGGGCAGGGAGGGAAGTGAAGGGCTCTGGATATGACTGAATAGATTGATCGGTTGGTGAAAGGAACAAACCTGGAGTGAGGTTTGTCATCATTGTGGTCATTCAGTCCCACCCTGCGGAGTCCCTGGACTGGTCTCCAGGAGAATATATGACCTTGAATGAGTCCGTTAACCTTTGTGTATTCACTTTCTCCATTTGCAAAATCTACAGGCTGTCCGGTCTTTTGGGACATTAAGGTCCCATGCAATAGTGTCAGTCTATGATAAAGAAACCTCAGGGCATTTGCCCTTACATTAACACAGGCATTTCCAAGCTCCTGCCTATGCAAGCTGAGAAGTCTGTAGAAATGGGTGAGAAGGACACTCAGTCTCTAGCCAATGAAATCTGAAGTTCTGAGTATTGTTTGAAGAGGTTCGGATCCACATACCTAAAATTCACTTGGCTTTACAAAGGTAAGCGCTAAAGAAGGGGGTTGTGACAAGCTGGGAATTCACTGACCTGGAAGGGTTGAGCATGATATGGAATTAATTCTAATGCAAGCAAAATGAATGACATCCCAGTTTAAAAGCTGAGCAGTCAGGATGGCAGGAAGATGGTTGTCATGCCAGATATTCAAATGCTGTAATCTGAGCAGAGGGATTAGGAGACAGAAGAGAATGGGCATTCATCCTGAGAAGAGGGACTTCAGGTTCTCAGGAGGCAACTTGCATCATATCCCGGTGTCCTTGACGCCTCTGCCACTTGTCTGAAGAGGGCACAGGTCTCCTCCTTCCTCAATGCAAACTCATTCTTATAACTTAGGATTTGCCTTCCAGGTGCCCAGAGATGAAGGTGCCCGCGGGAAAGCTCATGCACTCCCGGTGCCCCCAACATGTGAGCATCCAACTGCCAAGCCGATCTATCCATACAGCTTCAACCTGAGTCTGTGTTCCTAAAGGAACTCACTGTGCCACTTGGTGGCACCAAAAAGTTGCGCTGAGAACTATTTTCTCTATAAATATAAACTGCCACCCCTCCCTCCTCTGCTCTCTCCCCTGCCCCCCTTCTCAGTAGCTGGGAGATTGCTGCACACGCGTCCTCAGCTCTGCTGTTCAGCACTCACTGAGCACAGGAGATGAGCTTAAAATCATCATGGGGAGGGAGCCTGGAGCTGGAGAGTTCGATTCTGCTTTGCTGATCTGTGCAGCCCAACTTTCCTGGGGGCTAGCTAGACTGCACCTCACTGCCCGCCCAGGGCCGACCGTGGGTAAGCTGGCTAAGTGTGTGCGCCCAAACGTCCCTGGGCTGAGGATGATGAAGAAGCAATTAGCTTGCTGGGGGAAAATACAGTGTAGTTTGTGGGAGGGTGACCAGGGTGGAGTGTGTGGGTGGGTGGTCATGATCAGTAGAGTGAAGTCTGCTTCCTTTGTGGACAACCTTGGTTAGACCTGTTGGAGGATAAGGCAAGAGCAACGGACAATGGATGGAATGGCTGCACGTGTGGAGAGGGGGATTCTGCTTGCCTTTGGATCTGAGTGCTGCTCTCTAAGGCTCAATGTGTCTGATTTAAAATGCAAACTGTGCTTCCCCCAAATATCCGAGACCTCAGCAAGAGAGAAGCAAAGGTGGAGAAAGAAATGAGGTGGGATCGCTTCCCAATACATCGCTTAGCTGCTGTGGCCAGTATTGCACCTACTGCGGAAAGAGGGGGGCAGACAGTGGGTGGTTCTGAAAGCAAGGCTCTTCCACTTGGGAGAGAATGTCTGTTTCTGAACCCCAGTCTGAGTCCTTCTGCTCGCTCCTTCCCCTGGATCTGTTTCACTTTGGACACAAAGCCTGCTAGTTAACTTACAGTGGATGCGTGAGTAGCATGCCAAGGTGGGAGCTGAGTCTACAGCAACTTGGGGAGAGAAACAGGCCAGGCCCAAAAGCTTGCCAGTGGCCATAGCCTCATCTGCATTTAGGATCTAGCAGCATAAATGAAGAATCTTATTTAGTGGGTTTTTCAAAGTGTTGTTAGAATTTCAGACTGCCCCTGTTTCCTTCCAGAGCAGGTGCTGCAGGGAAGGGAAATTGAGGAGAGATTAGCAAGCATTTGTGCTTATTGAGGTACAATATTGGTGCTGCCTTAGCTGAACTGTAAGCTTAAGTAGCCAGATAGGTGGATTCTTCAACGTTTGCTTCCTGCTAAGAGACTGACACAGGCTAGTGGAAGGCAGCTTCTCATTTTGATCTGCCTCTCCATCCCCTACATGATGTTTTATTGTTCTGAATTCCCAGAGATTGAGCTTGAGTCAATATATGTCACTGCTGGCTACTGACTAATTAAGGCAGTCAAGAAAGCATTGCCTGTAGTACCTGCAACCCCTTCCCAAGTGAGGTATGAGCCAGAGTTTGCCATAAAATCTTAAACACTGAGAGTTATACAACATCAGGACATTCTACTCCGAGTTTTGGAGTGTTTAGGTAAGCTGTGACTTGCGAGGTGTGCTTTGAACTCATTTCTCTCATGAGCAAGGACAACTTCTCCTTTAATTTTTCTGTTAAAACTATGCACTTACACATTTGTTAATCAGTTGTGGCAGTTGGTACCCTTCATGGATGTCAATATCTTTGGTCAGACTTAAAAATGCTGCTTTCTGCATTCATCAATCTCCAGACTTCTCAGAGAAAACCTTTTCAGCACTCCGGACAGATACTTCAGTTTCTTAGAATAGAACTTGCTACGTAGTTGCTTCTCTTAAAAGAGAAGCTTCCCTTAGTCAGTTACATTCTGCTTTTAAAGTAAGTAATGTAGGTATTTTCAGCAAAACCCTCCCTGACTCTGTGCTATCACATGGCAGTATTTGGGCTGTGGTCTCTGCTCAAAGAGAAATTGAAATCTTCAATGTTTATTTATTAGACAGCATGATGAGATTATTTGGGGGAGGAAGTGTATTTGAACAATCCAAATACTCATCAAGTTTTTCACTTTACTTCCTTAGGTAGCCCCTGGCTCATACAATCACTTCATAACACACATTATGGACATGGTGAAAAACACCAAGGTGGAAACTGAAAAATTCACTCATAGGTACTATATCCACTAGCCCAAAATATATAGATTTTGGAAATACCTGAGTAATTATATATAATATGAAGTTTTACTCTGATAAATGATATTCTTTTGGTCCCTAATATAACAATTGTCTCATTAAATGTTTACTTTTTTGATAAAGGTTATCACATTTTATTATTTTTCTTCAAAATACTATGTGAATCCTGTTATATCTCTTTTCTAGACTTATAAGAGTAATTTAGACAGAAAGAACTAAATCAAGTGCCAGTAAAATATAGATAAAATTACAGGCAGAAGATGGGATGAAGTTAATCATGAAAAAATTTTACTTATTTGTAAACCAGTTTCTCCCGGCTTTCTATCCTCATGGAATGGAGAAAGATGTTCCTTCATATGTTTTTTGCTGTTATTTTAGTTAGACTGATATGTAGTTAAGATTATAAATTGACATCATGAAATAGTGAAGGCTGCCTTTCTTGATAGATATTGATATGTACTAAACGTATCAGCATACAGTTTGGATAAAATGAATGATTATTACTACATAACAGAAATATTCTATAGTTTGAAAATATATTATTGTTAATCTCCAGAGAAATATTAACCCTAGTCCTGATGCATCATTTAGTCATAACTTTAATTAATAGAGATTAGGAGAACCTAGAAGAAAAAAAGCATCAAGAAATATTTTTTAGTTTATGTTATGTTTGTATTATCTAAATAAAGCAAATTCGAACTTGAACATTGGATTTTCAACTACCTGTAAATAAGATAATATATTTCTATTATTACTTCAGCTTAGTTGGTTAAAATAGTTCTAAAAAATATTGCTTTAATTTCCTTTAAATTTACAGATGGAAGGGAAAAATGTAGATTTTACCAGTTCTAATCTTGTTTGAATTCTATGTACCTGGTCAAAGGTGCTTTTGGCCTACATGCATGTTCACTCCTGTTCTAATAAATCCCATTTATTGAACACATCAGGCACCATGAAAAAACATTGTATATGTTATTTATTTAATTCTCACAACCATTATACCAGGCAATACTTGTTTTAATTTTCTGTTGTTAAAATTGAGGTTGATTTTTTTTCCTTCCACTGTCAGATAACAAGGAAATGGACGAAATTATAGATAT